AAACTATTTTTTAATTTGAGGAATTGAGATATCATATGCATACTGTGAATCTTAAGTGTACAATTTAGCAAATGATGGTAAACCTATACCTGCACAAAACACACAGCCTCATCAAGATGCAGAGTATTTTCATCACCCTGGAAAGTTTCCCTGTGCCCTTTCTCATCAGTCTCCCCCCACCCCAGAAAACTACTACTTTTATTTCTATGACCATAGGTTAATTTTGCCTATTCTGTAATTTCATTTGAAGTACTCTTGTGGTTGGCTTCTTTCACTCAACATTATGTATTTTATTGAGAGTCAACCATGTCATTGCACATGTTGCTCGTTTCTTATTGCTCAGTCTATTTAATTGTGTAAGTGTACCAGTTATTCATCTTTTGTCCTGTTGTTGGACAGATGGGCTATTTCCAGTTTTTAGCTTTATTATGAATTAAACTGCTATTAACATTTTTGTGCAAAGTTTTTGTGGCTATGTTCTCATTTCTCTTGGATAAATTCCTAGGATTGAAATTGTTAAGTCATAGGATAGCTAGATATATAACTTTTTAAGAAAGAAACTGCCAGTTTTCCAGAGATTGTACTGTTCAAAACTTCCATTAGCACAGTCTGTTTGTTCCACATCCTCAGCAGCACTTGACATTGTCAGTCTTTATTATTTTCGTTATTCTTGGGAGTGGTTATGCCAGGGGAGTAGTAATACATTGTCATTTTAGTTTGCATTTCCCTGATGAGTAATGGTATTGACCATTTACCTTTACTTATTGACCATTGGTATATTTATAATTTTTAATGTTGTTCATCTTTTTATTACTAATATAAGTCTTCATTAATTACATGTATTATGACTATTTTCTCAAGTCTGTGACTTGCCTATTGATTTTCTTCATGATGTCTTTTTAAAAAAATTTTCTTCATGATGTCTTTTGTAAGAAAGCTTAAAATTTTGATGACGTCTGATTTATCAGTTTTTCCTTTTATTTTTAGTGATTTCTGTATACCATCTAAGAAATATTTGCATACCTACAGGTCATAGGAAGCCCCCTTGTGGCTCAGACGGTAAAGAGTCTGCATGCAATGCAGGAGACCCAGGTTCGATCCCTGGGTTGGGAAGATCCCCTGGAGAAGGCAATGGCACCCCACTCCAGTACTCTTGCCTGGAAAATCTCATGGACAGAGGAGCCTGTCAGGTACAGTCCACAGGGTCGCAAAGAGTCAGACACGACTGAGTGACTTCACTTTCAGTTTCACAAGTCACAGAGATAGTCTTTCTTTGTAGTTTTAACTTTTATATTCAATTTTTAGCTTTATATTCTTAGCTTTTATGCTTATGACTGTGACCTAGCTCAAAACAGTTTTGAGTATAGTGTGAGGTAGGGGTTAAGGTCTATTGGTTCCCAAATAGATGTCCGGTAGTTCTAGCACCAGTTGTTAAAAAGGCTTTACTTTACGTTTTGAATTGTTAAGTAAAACTACCTCCCAGAGTTGACTAAGGCATGGTATTCCCTTCAAGAGCTTATAGTCTACAGAATAACTTTTGTACTGGAATTTATTGCTGACTTTTCATAAAGAATAGCATATCCGACTACTGTGATGCACAAAAAACATTATCCTCTGAGAAATGGGACAAGGCAAAGTTCATTTACCCCATCCAAGAGTGGTTTAAAATTAATTAATGCAAATTGCTGGTTGTGGTCGGTGCTTTGCCAAGGAATGCAGTACAAGTAATAGTTTAACTTTCAGAGCGTTCTTGTATCTTTGTCCCCAGAAGAAAAAAAAAACACTTGAATGTGTTCAGCTCTAGGTTACTATTATTATTAAGGCTTTAAAAGTTGTACCCTTAACTTTAGATGTTCATAGCATGAATAAATATTTTATTTTTGAGGGATTTAAAAATAAACACATCGCTTTTAGATGCAATCCTTTGGATTAATTTTTAAGGAATTTTGTTTTACCATTAACACTTCTTTTTTTTTAACAGTTTCAAAGTATAAATGAAACTCTTAATTGTATGGCTCTTGATCTTGTCCTGTATAGACTGTTATGCTGCGGACGTTGCTGCTTTAACACTTGTTATTTGTAGATGACAGCACTTACAGCTGCCATCATACTCTAGATGCTTTTAGGTGGCAAAGAGGTAATAAGTGCGTTGTCGTGGAAGAAGCATTAGACTAAGAGGCTCAAACACCTAGGACTTGGGACTCTAAGCTGCTTACAATGTCAAGGCAGTAATTTCTTTGTGCCTTAATGTCTTCTGGTAAGAAATTGGAAGAACCATACTAGCTTCCTGAGGTCAGTATAAGACATATATATAGTTGTTAAGAATGAGAACTTTAAGATCAGGATAGTGAAAGTGAAAGTTGCTCAGTTGTGTCTGACTCTTTGCGACCCCATGGACTATGCAGTCCATGGAATTCTCCAAGCCAGAATACTGGAGTGGGTAGCCATACCCTTCTCCAGGGGATTTTCCCGACCCAGGGATCGAACCCAGGTCTCCTGCATTGCAGGCAGATTGTTTACCAGCTGAGCCACCAGGGAAGCCCAGGAATCCTGGAGTGGGGAGCCTATCCCTTCTCCAGGGGATCTTCCTGACCCCGGCATCAAACTGGGGTCTCCTGCATTGCAGGTGGATTCTTTACCAGCTGAGCTACCAGGTCAGCTAAAGCAGGGTAAAATGTAGACCCTTTACAATTTTTGATAAGTGCAGTATTTGTCACATAGGAAGCAACCAATAACTGCTGTTTTGTGTTGTTATTATTTTAACTTTAACTTTTATTAAAGTATAATTGACTTACAGTGTGCTTAATTTCTGCTGTATAGCAAAGTAACTCAGTTATACATGTATCTATTCTTTTCATGGTTTATCACAGGATATTGAATGTAGTTTCCTGTGCTGGACAGTAGTACCTTGTTGTCTATCCATCCTGTATGTAATAGTTTGCATCTGCTAACCCCAAACTCCCAGTCTTTCCCTCCCCTCCTCCACTACCCCCTGACAACCGTACGTCTGTTCTCTATATCTGCAAGTCTGTTTTTGTTATTATTTTATAAAGAAAAAAATCTGGCATACCAAGTCAAAGTCTTTTGAAAGTATGAGTATTCTACACATATTATATTGTATGACAGAATGAATTTGATATTTATCGACAGCTTGAGTAGAATTTAAATCAGTATTAGAGAACTGATTATAGATTTATGGGACTAAATGTGAGAAGAAGGTTAAGGTAATTCATCCATGAAGGAAAAGAAATTTCTAATATAGCAGATAGTAGAAACAGCAAGCTTTACCAAACTGGCAGAGAAATATGAACCACTCACAAAGTGCTGTTATAATAAAAATAGGCATAGATAGAAATCTGAAATTTATGAATGGTTAAGTCTTCCACCATGGTTAGACTTTTTTTAAACTTGCGGTTGTGTTTTTTCTTCTTAAAAATCAATACAAATCCACTCCACAACCACAAATCTCTTTGACATAAATCTTTTCTAACCTTGGGCTTTTTTTTAAGGCTGGTATGGGACATCACTCGTCAGGTCCTTGAGGAGATTTCTGTCTGACTGAATGCTCTGAAGTCACCGTCTTAGATCTTTCTGAGATGCTAGCAACTAATTGTATAGAACCACCCACCTGAATTTGACTTTTGCTCTGAGACCCTTCCTTCACTGGAGAATTTTGGAGAGGGTGGTGTAAGAAGCAGTTTTATTGGGTTTAGCTCCTTTACATTTAATGATTCTTCCTTTAGCTGTTGTCTCTCCTTTATATTTTACTATGAGCAGCAAGAAGACAGCAGGCAGCAGTTTCAGCACCACGTGGAAATATCCTTAGCTAGAACATTCATTTCATTGAGTACATTTTCTACTTTCCGTGTTAACCACCAGTGATAGTGTTGCTAAATTTGCTGCTACTTCATAACAAGGGTGTGCCCTTTTCTCTACTTTCCAATAATATTTTTCTCACTTTTCTTTAAGCTTTCACTGACAGCCTCGTTGAAGGGTACAATACTTTGGCTAACAGTTCTGAAAGCCAAGGCAGATCCTGCAGGTGCTGGCAACTGGAAGCTGTCAGCTAACTGTATTTCCTGCCGCTGAGTCTCTCTTGAAGAGGGATGTGAGCAGTGTACCTCCATGGCCACCACATGTGACATTCATGCCAAGCCATGTTCTACCACTTTTTTCCAATCTTGTCACCTAACTTTGCCTATGTCTCATTCTATGCTTTTGTTACACAGAAATTGTACTACCGCAAAGTCACACAAAATATTGACATATTGCAGGCTGAGTTAGGTGCCTCTCAGCATCCTAGAATAATATTTATAATAATATAATACTTTCTGGCCCTTTAATCTGTCACCATATTTATGACATTCTGTGATATTTGGATTCAGATCTTGACTTTGACACTAATCAGCTACATGACCTTGGTCAAGTTATTTGGTTTCTCTGTGTCTCAGTTTCTTCATTTTTAAAATGGGGGAAATAATATTCTTTTCATAGAACTGTAGGGATTAAATAAAATAATAACAGGTAAGTGCTTAGAACAGAGCCTAGTATATGATAAATGTTCAATAACTATTAGCTATGATCATTAAAGGATTCCCAGGTGGCTCAATGGTAAAGAGTCTGCCTGCAATGCAGGAAACTTGGGTTTGATCCCTGGCTTGGGAAGATCCCCTGGAGAAGGAAATGGCAACCCACTCCAGTATTCTTGCCTGGAAAGTCCGATGGACAGAAGCCTGGCAGGCTACAAGTTTGTGGGGTCACAGAGGCGGACACAGCTGAGTACGCACACACACACACATGATCATTGATGATCTGAACTGACAGGACAGATTGAATTTTGTGGCTGGAGTGCAGGGTAAAACTGACAGAGCGGTGACTCTGACCCCTCAAAGTACTTATGTTTTTAGGGCCAGAATGCAGAAATGCCACCCCACAAGGCTGTGAGTAGATGGATGTCATCAGGAAAAACTTTATCAACCTTTTCCTCCCTTCTGGTCTAGGTCTGCAGGACAACCCATGGTTCTGTGACTGTCACATTTCCAAAATAATGTCATTGTCAAAAGTCGCTGACCCTGCAATAGTACTTCTTGATCCGATGATGGTGTGTAGTGAACCGGAACGCCTCACAGGGATTTTGTTTCAGCGGGCTGAGCTGGAGCAGTGTCTGAAGCCATCAGTGATGACCTCGGCTACCCAGATCACATCTGCTCTGGGCAGCAATGTCCTGCTGCGGTGTGATGCCACTGGCTACCCCACCCCGCAGCTCACGTGGATCAGACCAGATAGCTCGCCAGTTAATTATACAGGTATCTTCTTAATTCAGGCCTTTGAAATAAGGTGTTTACAAATGTCTGAACTTAATCTTGTGTTTTTGTATGGTTTGAGATTGGTTGTCTATTTCTAATAAAATATTGCTAAGAGTGTTGAATGGAAAAATTTTGAAAGGTACACTTTACTGATTAGTATTTTCCTCAGTTTGTCTGATTAACCACATAGATGAAATTAGACAATCTGATTTTTTTTTTCTTAGATGGAAAACAACATGATTCAGCATCTGGATGGTTGCAGATAGGCCTCTGTCTTTAACTTCCCTCCATCAGAGGAAAATTTTAAAAAAGCGACTCATGGTTTACAAGGTTATCTAAATGAAATATACTGTGAAAGAAAGGAACAGAAATTATGACTCCTCCATGCTAGAAGATGATCCATGATGCCTTCTGACTGTGTAGATAGTTGGCATTTTATTACAATGAAAAAAATATTTTGAGAAATATTGAAGTAATGTCTTGTGATAAACATTTTATAGAATCACAGTGGGTTAAAATTGGAAGGGATACCTGAGACCACTTTGTCTTATCCCCTTATTTAAAAAACATGGAAACAGAGGTCTAAAAACTGATAGCTTGTCTAGAATCACATGTTATTTAGTGACAAAAGTTTACTAAGGCCAAAGTTTCTTAACTCTCAGCCCCATGTATTTTTAAAATACTATTTCCCATACAAACCTCATGTCACCTAGAATGTCCTAGATTTCCATATAAACCATTTACAGACCCATTACCTGCCTTCAGAGACTTGCAGCGTACCACTTCTCTCTCCGCTTATGTGAGAGGTATGCATGTAGGACCAGAAATTGTTTACTTTTCAGTTGGCATGTTGCTTGAGTCTTTTCTTTTTTTTCTCACAGAGTATGCCTTTCTCTTTATTCCAGTAATTCAGGAATCTCCAGGGGAGGGAGTCAGATGGTCCATAATAAGCTTGACGGGCATTTCTTACATGGATGCTGGGGATTACAAATGTAAGGCCAAAAATTTGGCTGGGATGTCAGAAGCTGTGGTCACCGTGACAGTGGCCGGTGTTGTCACAGCCACCATCTCATCAGATACTTCTGAAAGAAGGACTGGGGATCACCCTGAACAAGAGGTCCAGCCAGGATCTAGACGAGCCGCATCTCTGCCTGGTTCATCGTCATCTCCCTGGCCTCATCCCTCCTCTTCTCCCACTTTTCCTCCTACTTCAGCTTCATCTCCTCCCTCCACTGCTTCCTCCTTCTTCTCTCCTTTCTTCTCCTCCGCTGTTTCTTCAGCTACAACGCCAAGCACTAGAATATCCACAGGCACCGCCACGGCTAGCCGACAGTCACTCCGCCCAGATGGGAAAAGAAGTGCCAAGGCAGAGATGGGCGGCGGGAAGCTTCCCCCAGCTAGTGCCAGTAGAAGGGAAGAGCTGGCACTGCTGGATCGAGCCCTGCCCATGGAAACGAATGCCACGATAGAAAACCTCCAGGTGGTCGGCGAAACAGAAGGAAGCGTGATTTTGATGTGGGACACTGTTAACACCACCCAGATCTCGGAAGTGACCGTGTTTTATTCCAAATATGGTGAGAAGGACCTGCTGCTGCTTAACGTGAACTCCAGCAAGAACCAAGTCACCATAAATGGCTTGCTTCCTGGTTGGCAGTATATAGCGTGTGTCTGTCCAAAGGGAATGCCTCCCCAGAAAGACCAGTGTATCACCTTTTCTACTGACAGAGCTGAAGAAGAAGGTGATTCTCGAGAGTCTTTCCTGATGGTGGTGAGTGGCGCTGCCTGCGTTGCTGTCTTGCCGTTGATTTTTTTCCTGTTGTACAAAGTTTGCAAACTTCAGTGTACGCCAGACTCCCTCTGGGAAGATGATTTGGCAAAAGAGACTTATATCCAGTTTGAGACGCTGTCCCCCAGGTCTCAAAGTGTAGGGGAACTGTGGACGCGAAGGCCCAGAGCCGAATCAGAAAAACTGCCACTCTGCTCTAGGTCAAGTGTGGAGTCTCCTGACTATTAAAAGTGAGGGTTCTGGATCGGAGTATTACTGCTAAGGTTTTACAGCTCAGGCACATGTGAGCTCCACAGAATTTCTTTCACAAAATTAAGGATCTAGGGATATAGTTGACCCTCTGTTTGGATGACTTTTGGACGTTTTTCACATCCTTTATGAAAAAAAATCACACATGGAGTGCTTTTAAGTGTGTTTAAAAAAAATCATGAGACTTCTGAACTGAAAAGACAAATAATTTTGATTTTTTTTCTGTAGAAAATGTCCATAGAAATCATTTTTAGGGTAGTGCTAAAGTCAGTTAATAATATATTTTAGGATAATACTTTAGTTCTTAAAAATAAATTCAGGTGAAAGTAGTCATAAAAAGTAAACTCTGAATCCTAAAAAGATAGCTTTTGGGGGCAGTGAAGAAAGCTTAGTATAACCAGCTAAGCCTTGATGTCCATTCTTGTTCAAAGTGCTTTATGGCATTTGCTGTGCATGTTTGCTGCCATTGCCTGGTAGAGTGGAATAGTGCGTAATTTTGCTTTCACTATGGTTAAATGCAACCCAGTGGACGGGGAGGGCTCCAGCTTTTAGTACCATTATGCATTTTAATATAGTATAGTGGTGTGCATATTGAAAGTATGAAAAAATTTTCCCTTATCCTTAGAAATATGGATACTAGCAAAAATAAGTTAAGAAGAGGATCATGGCAAATAGTAAGACCATTCTGAGAAGATATTAACTGTTGCATTCTAATACATCTGCTAAGACTGTATGGGGTCTTTTTAAAAAATGTACTCATTTTAAAACAATCTCTTTAATAGTTTTATATTTATTCTTCTTTTCCCCATCCCTCTTTTCTTCTCTCCCTCCCCCTCCTTATTTTCTTCACTTTGTTTTTCCTTCTGCTTTGTCAGAAGATATTCATGCAGCCCAAGGACCATAGCTAAAGAGTTTGTCTTTTGTCATGTCATATTTTGATTGCCTGGATAAAGGAATGATCTTTGAAAGTCTTTTAGATCCAAAAAGGATGTCTTAGGATGTTGAAAGAGAAATTTGAACAAGCAAGAGTGGATTCATTTAGTCAAACTCTAGGTTAAAAACATCAGGGAAATTTGATTAGAGTGGGCCACATGATTAGATAGGAAAGGGAATTGATAAATAAAATTTAGTTTTTCTAAAGAAATTTTTTAAACCATATTTACTAAATATTATATTCTCTACATTGAAGATTTTGGAGTATAGAACAGATTTATAAAGGTGTGTTATGAGTCCTGAAATATACTGAGAAGCAAGTTCTAAGAAAATATTATATTTTACATAAGAAACAAATAGGCTTTAATGTAACACATTGTGGAAATCATAATATAAGCAGCCAGAGGATGAAAAACTTCTCATTCCAAATGGCTTTTAATTAAAAAGAAAAAGAGAAATCTACTTTCACTGTATTAGATTACAGAATACTGTAATCTGTATTAGAAGATTAGCATGGGTGGATGTCCTGCTCAGAACTCCCAGACCTCCCCTTCTTATCCTCTTTCCTGTCCTTTGCAACCTGTTTGACCTTGGTGCTTTCATCACTATGTGCATTGTCTAATGATCTAACAGTTTTAAATTCTGTATTCATTTTTTGGGTTTTTTAAAAAATACCTTTTAAAGACAGTTTTGTGTTCAACTTATGTTAGATGATTTATTTTAAATTTAATGACTGCAAAAATGTGCATTTCTTTACTCTAAAGACATCATGGGATTTCACTGCCATAATTAAAAAGTTCAAATAAACAAACTGCCAAAATACTACCACCTTAGAAATAATATAGCTGTGGGAGAATGTTACAGACTGCTGAGCCAAAAGACACCCAAATTGTACAAAGGCAAGCTATTTGTCAAGAAAGATACTTGGATCATCCTGATGAAATGAATTACTGACCGCTCTCATAATTAAAATCAAGTGCAGCCTGGACTTAATTTTGCCCAGCAAGGAAAAGCTAATTGGTGGTGGAGAGGGGATTGGAATGGCAGGAGAAAGCATCTTTGTCATCCTCAACTTGGACTTGGCACATGAGGTGAGTCACAAGCAACTTGTTACTCATAGTAAGAGCAAATTGTAACTCATCTAGTTTCTAAAAATACATAAGTTTGAACATAGGGTTATCCTGATGATATCACTGCTCTTATGTTCTTACAAGTATGTGCTTCCTTGAGTGGGAGGGAAAGGCTGATATTGTAGCAAGCAGCCTGGAATTTCACACAAGCAGCAGTCTGTTTTTCACTATCACTATATGCTGGTGGCTCAGATGGTAAAGAGTCTGCCTGCAATGCAGGAGACTGGGGTTTGATCCCTGGGTCGGGAAGATCCCTTGGAGAAGAGCATGGCAACCCACTCCAGTACTCTTGCCTGGAAAATTCCATGGACAGAGGAGCCTGGCAGGCTACAGTCCATGGGGTTGCAAGCAGTCAGATACAACTGAGCAACTGACATATATGCATTGTGAAGAGCAGTCATAAATAATATATAGTAATATATCTGGTAATTAAATATGATTACAATATTTTACTTTCAGACAAAATATATTTGAAGTAAAACTTGGAATACATGGTGAGGGTGTGTCACTTGTGAGGCTATCATCAGTGATGTGCTGTGACATAAAAAATTTGAGAACACCCAGCAAATTGTTCAGTGTCTGGAAAAGCAAACCCTGAAGAGAGTCAGAGAGATGCCTTGGGAAACTTTTGCAAAAAGTTTAAAGAAGAAACTTTTGACCCAGGGACTTGAATCCAAAAAGGGATTATGGCTAACAAAGAGAGATTTTAAACACACACACACACACACACACATTCCCTTCCCAGGGGATCTTCCAGACCTAGGGTTCGAAGCCAGGTCTCCTGCATTGCAGGCAGATTCTTTACCAACTGAGCTATGAGGGAAGTGCAAGAACGCTGGAGAGGGTTGGCATTTCCTACTCCAGGGAGTCTTCCTAACCCGGGGTGGGACCCGCGTCTCTTGCTGTGGCAGGTGGGTTCTTCACCACTGCACCACTTGGGCTTCCTCAAGTTATGTATGGTTACTGCTGAAAATGCCAGCATTAGGTTACTCTAGTAAAAGGAACAGAGCAAAGAAGGCAAGTGGTCTGTTATCCTCTGCATTAATAGACCATTTCTATAGGATTAGATTTAATTTGGGGTGCCAAATTTAAGTAATTATGAACCTTGATTACAACTATGGGCTATCCATTAGAAAGCAACTAAGATCACCAAACATTTGGTAACTTTATCATGCATGAAAGGGGTAAGGATCTGGAGCACAGACTCTGAGGAGACCAGACTAGCTTAGTGCAGCACAAGGTGCTGACTCTTCCCTGGAGGGCTGTGTTTAGGACCATCTGCTTGGGTTGTTAAAATGGAGGCTACTAGGTTCTACAAGTAGAAATATGAATTCAGCAGCCTGGGGTCTTGGGAACTGCACTTTGATACTCAACCCAGGGGAATGACGAAGGTGATGTAGTGACTTTGAGAAACACTGTTTTGTGGAATGGATATAGAAGCAATATTGGGATGACAAAGAAGCAGAACTACTCCACATTAAAAACAAACTTTTTTTTTTTTTTTTGCTAACAGAATTAGAAAACAGTGGAGTAAGTCATATTGTCATAATATTACTCAGGACTTTCATAGATATTCCAGAAGTCAGGAATGATGAAAGATACCCTAAAGGACACTGTGGACTAAAAAGTTCAATCATTTGGACTGTAGCAGAAAGAAAGGAATATCAATAAAGTTGTATCCTTTGGTTTCAGTGGAAGAGAATGCTAATATGTGTATTAAGTAGCCTCTTTTGTTTAATTATAATAAACTTTATTTCATATGTAAACATCTGAGTCTAAATTTGTTTAAATAGTGGAAAAATTAGGCTACAAACTATTGGGTAGGTTTGTGTTGTCCTCTTTTTATGAAATTAATTTCAACTAAGTGGTTGGATGCAGCAGCAGCAGCAGCTAAGTCGCTTCAGTCGTGTCCGACTCTGTGCGACCCCATAGACGGCAGCCCACCAGGCTCCCCCGTCCCTGGGATTCTCTAGGCAAGAACAGTGGAGTGGGTTGCCATTTCCTTCTCCAATGCAGGAAAGTGAAAAGTGAAAGTAAAATCGCTCAGTTGTTTCCGACTCCTCACGGCCCCATGAACTGTAACCCACCAGGCTCCTCCATCCATGGGATTCTCCAGGCAAGAGCACTGGAGTGGGTTGCCATTTCATTCTCCAAAGTGGTTTGATGAGAGTCACTGTAATTTTTCTTTTCCTTGATATAGGTTATAACACAGATGACTCATTCCTTAACTGTTCAGAAAAAAAGCCCAATATTTTTATGAATTAATTTAATATAACTTGTAAACACAGTTAAGTCCTTACAGCAAAGCAGCAATTTTCCAATCATTGGCATTATTTTAATATACCATTTATGAAGTGTGCTAGTTTTTATCTTAAGGAATTTCCAAAGTATTTAACACTGTGACAATAGTAAGGAGGTAAATTCTTGGAGTAATTACATAGATATCCACTGATGCTGGGTTTCTTATCATATTCTCTGTGATTCCTAGGGACAAAGAAAGAAGGGTAAAAGTACAGAAGAATTTTGAAAGAAAGCATCTCAAAAAACAAGATAGCAATCTGGAGGATAACGGTAGCCACCTGAATCCTGTTGTTTCCATGCATTCGTCCCTCAAAAGAATCTATTAGTTTAACTAAAAATTCAAAACCCCTTCATATGACCACATTTTTAGCATTAATAGGAGCTAGAGAATACCATGAAATTTGCAGTGTTTGTAAGAGAAATAAACATCAAATTCCAAAGATGTCTTGCCATTGCTGCAAGCCTGGAGAGCAAGAGAAGAAAGAGAAGGAAGGTGAGAGCCAAAGGACACCATTTGAGAATTATAGATCAGATGTGTGTTTGCTCAGTCGCTTCAGTTGTGTCCGACTCTGCGACCCTACAGACTGTAGCCCTCCAGGCTCCCCCGTGCGTGGG